GTAAAGTGCAGGAAAGATATGCAGAATTATAATCACAGGTCCATGAAGTTTAGATCAGTGCAATTGTGAGAATTAAGAAAGGTGAGATGTCAACGGTGATCATCTTGGTATGCTATCGATGATAATGCAACTACGATGGGATAGCTGCTTTGTGTGACAAAGCCCTACACCTCCAGTGGTTCTCATCCTTGGGTCCCCAGATGTTTTGGGCCTACAACTCCCAGAAATCCTAACAGCTGATAAACCGGCTGGGATTTCTGGGAGTTGAAGGCTAAAAACATCTGGGGGCCCCAGGTTGAGAACCACTAGCCTAATTGTGACTCCCTTACTTCAAAAGTTCCTTGAGTAAAATAAGCAATATCATATCACCCCCCCTTTAAAAATATATTATTAATTCATACTTGCCATTCACTAACAGTTTATAACCTTCTATAAACAGTTTATGTTATATCAGCTTCCTCTGCTTGAGCTAAAGTATTATTATTATTATTATTATTATTATTATTATTATTAAACTTTATTTGTACCCCGCTAGCATCTCCCGAAGGATTCGATGCGGCTTACAAAGGCCAAGGCCTCAATACACAACATAACAATACACTTAAAGCAAATTAAAAACAATTAAAGCAGTATTAAAACAACAAAACCACAAGCAATAAACAATACATCAACAAGATAAAACTGGGCCAGGCCAGAGTAGAGGGTACAAGTAGAAAAGCTCCAGTACAGGATGGCATATCTGGACCTGGATGGCAGCGAGGAGCCTTTAACAGCCTCACTAAACTACAAACCCCAGAATTCTGTAGGAGGCAGAAACTGGATTTAAAGTGGATTCATTCTCTAGTGTAAATTACATCAAGCCCACATATAAGAATCTTATCTGGATAAAACATTGAAATGTCCACCACCCTTGTTCTGTGTGTGTGAATGACAAGCTGTGTGCAACTATGTTAGGAAAGCAAAGTATAACTCAAAATGGCATGATCACGGGACATCCCTAGGTCTCCACCTCATGGTCTGGAATGATTCAGAACTGGCAACCCTATCTGGAGCTTTCATGATATTTCTTACTAACATCAGTAACAGCCCTAGCCTTGTCTAATCCCAACTGTCGAGTATGTCTGCCCTGTTTGGCATAAGTCTGTCCATGCAAAGCAGGTGAACATAGTGTTGAATGAAACATGCAGAATAATCACAGGGTGTCTTAAACCTATACCTGTTGATAAACTCTACGAGCTAGCTGGCATTGCCCCCCCCCCCCCATGTGCGACAGAAAGTTACTACTTAGCTACCAGCCTCCTCCCAGTAGACTCAAATCAAGGAAAAGCTTTATGAGAACTACCACTCCTCTTGGCATTCCCCCAGCAACAGCAAGGGTATCCCTCTGGGCAGCTAGACCAGGAAATCCCAACTGGATCCCCCCCCAGGAGGGTCTTCCTCCAGGGGCAAACCAAGAATGGGCAACTTGGAAGTCCCTGAACAGACTCAGAAGTGGAGTGGGCAGATCAAAAGACAACCTGGCAAAATGGCACTACCTAAAAGAATCCCACACCTTGTGTGACTATGGAGCAAAACAGACAACTCCGCATCTGTATACTTGTCCACTATGCCCTGCCTCATGTACAGAGGAAGAATTGTTGGAGGCTACAAACAATTGCCCATTTTTAGTCAAAAGATATTTAGCCGCCTGTGGTCCTTCTATTTTTATCAGTTTTATACTAATTTGTGCAATGCTTTTGATACGAAATAAATAAATAAATAAATAAATAAATAAATAAATAAATGATATTTCTTGAATCAAGAAATCTGTATTCGTCTGTTATACCATAGACATACATACAACTTTGGACAAACTGGATATTCTCATACACTTTAAACATACGTCTATATTAGGGACGTCATCACATTGAGGTCCTGAAGCCAGGCAAGAGCAGGGAAATCTATGAGGCAGTGTGGAAAATTTGTGGGGCATTGGAGGAAACTGTCACTTTGCGCTCCACATCGCTTCCTTCTCCATCATACAGGGGAAGCAGTTGCTGCCCAGCTTTCCCCCCGTGCTGTCCCCAGTTTACTCAATTAGAACACATGCAGTCATCCATGTTCTGAATTCTTCTTCCCACCGTTCTTTTAACACAGAGCCGGCATGGAGCCCTAATGGAAGTACCCCTGTGATAGGCTCCAACAGGCTCTGTACTGGCTCTGTGTTTGTTTGTTTTTTTTGTTGTTGTGTCAGGAGCAACTTGAGAAACCGCAAGTCGCTTCTGATGTGAGAGAATTGGCCGTCTGCAAAGACGTTGCCCAGGGGACGCCCGGATGATTTGATGTTTTTATCATCCTTGCGGGAGGCCACTCTCATGTCCCCGCATGAGGAGCTGGAGCTGATAGAGGGAGCTCATCCGCCTCTCCCCGGATTCGAACCTGCGACCAGTCGGTCTTCAGTCCTGCCGGCACAGGGCTTTAACCCACTGCACCACTGGGGGCTCCGGCTCTGTGTTGAAAGCATCCTACGATGGGGCAAAAGCCCCATGTGATGAGGTCCTAAGACCTTCAGGTATTACCTCCTACACAAGTACAGGATATATAGATTCACCTTTCCTTTTCTTTTTCTAAGCTTCTAAGGGAAATACATGCAAGCACATGTTTTAGGAACTGACAATTGCAAGGTTGCATTTCATATGTGATGCTTTCATGAAAGAAGAGGTAATACGGGAAACTTGAACATCTTGCTTATGGGTTGCAAAATTATTCTACAACATTATACATCCAATCAAGCCCGTAGCCAGGATTTTGTTTCGGGGGGGGGGGGGGTGAGTTTGGTTCGGGGGGGGGGGCTGAGTCTGAGTGAAAGAGGGTCTACCCTAGCAAACCTTTTGTATCGTTACCCCAATACCCCCATGCATATGAGATATATTGAGTATAGTGATCAGATCATGATATGAATAAACATAACAGTTTAAATAATGCACCAGTAAGGCCTTTTCGCGAACCACCATGAGAATTTCGGGGGGGGGGGGGTGAAGCCCCTCAAGCCCCCCCCCCCCCCCCCCGGCTACATGCCTGCATTCAATCATATTCCCATGGAGAAGGGAAATTGTTTTTAGCATTGATAATAACTTATTTCCACGTACTTTTGAAGAGTTAGAGCCAGGTTGTAGCTTGCCGATTTTATCTTGTTCTGGGCTTCTAAGTGAGTCATGCCATCTGTGTTGACTCCATCAATGGCTACCACCAAGTCTCCCTGGCTCATTTGAGACTGAGCTGCCTTGCTGCCGGGTGTAATCTGTGGAGGAAAGGAAAATAGAAATGATTGGGACAGTGAAAAATACCCGGAAGAGTACAAGTCAGTTTATGATTTGGATTCTTTCATTGTTTGAATCACATATCTGTACAGTCATCTCCTACAACGTAGAAACCAGGGTCAAAGCAACTGATCATCAGGACAGTATGGGATCCTATAGGAATTCTTCTTTTATGTACTGAACCATTCACTTCTGCATATGCAAGGTCATACAATGAGAAGGTGTAGTGCTGAAAGGAAAGTTTCCGCAAAAGCTTCTTTTGTTATTCATGGTATGTGGTGCTAAGTTTCGAAGAGGAAGCTCCTGTCAGGAAAGTATCTAGAGCAATAACCATACCCGGAGAGAACAAAAGTGCAGCTGGCTGTGTTGATCTAAAATAATTTCTGTCAGTTTGCTTCTCTACAAGGAATAAGTCTTTTGTAAAGGAACTCTCAAGTACTTTGGGTTACAGCAGCCATAGATCATAGCAATAGCTCCTTACTGGGAAAATCTATTTTCACTCTAATCACGGTGGGGCTTTCAACTAAATTTGTTGGAGACAGAAAAGCCTGGTGTGTGGATGCCTCTGCTAACAAAAAAACCACAGCACTTTGACTCTGTGAGCCCTGGTTCCTCATTTCCATTGTTCAGCCTGAGAAGGCAACTGTGGAAGGTAAGGAGCTACATAAGCCCTTCAGAAGGCCCCGGGAGATCTTGAATAGCTGCCAACTTCTGCTATATCCATGTGATTTTTTAAATATAAAAATGTGCCAAGTGCTCCTCAACACCCGCTAGAACATGGGTTTTTTTTTAAGGGAGAGGCACTGGGACCAAGAGAGTCCTTTGGGGAAAAAAAGAGGAAATGAGTAGATGTTTGGATTCACCTAAATTGGGTCAAAATTGCCTTGGGGAATGTATCATAGGCAGACTGTGCAAAAAGAATCTGCGAACCCCACCTCCTCCAAGATGAACTGAACCACCTCAACTGGGCTCTCCAGGCCAATGGATACTCCACCTCAGACATCAGAAGAGCTGCAAGACCAAGAACAAGCCACGAGAGTAAAGATGAAGATCCACCCAGAGGAAAAGTGTTCCTGCCATACATCAAGGGAACCACTGACCGCATAGGGAAGCTGATGAGGAAACACAACATACAAACAATCTACAAACCCACCAAGAAAATCCAACAAATGCTACGTTCAGCAAAGGACAAGAGGGATCCTCTCACCTCTGCAGGAGTCTACTGTATACCATGCAGCTGTGGACAAGTCTACATAGGGACCGCCAAACGCAGCGCCCAGACATGCATCAAGGAACATGAAAGGCACTGCAGATTACTTCAACCAGAGAAGTCAGCCATAGCAGAGCACCTGATGAACCAGCCTGGACACAGCATTTTATTTGAGAACACAGAAATGCTGGACCACTCTCAACAACCACCATGTCAGACTACACAGAGAAGCCATTGAAATCCACAAGCATGTGGACAATTTCAACAGAAAGGAAGACATGAAAATGAACAAAATCTGGCTACCAGTATTAAAAAACTCTAAAATTACAAAAGCAAAACAGCAGAGAGGAAACAACCAGGCACATCTTAACACCTCTCAACAAAAGATTTTCCCAGGCTCAGCCAGGCCTTCAAATGCTAATGAAGGTGGTCAGTTGAAACATTCACACCTAGCTCCAGCAGGGAAGAGCTCTTTGCCCCACCCCAGCCATTCCACAGATATATAAACCCATTGTCCTAATTCCAACAGACCTCACTACCTCTGAGGATGCTTGCCATAGATGCAGGCGAAATGTCAGGAGAAATGCCTCTAGAACATGGCCCTATAGCCCGAAAAAACCCACAAGAACCTTATCATAGGCTTGTTTGATCAAAAAATGGTTCAAAACTCGTATCAGATGTAGGGGGCGCTGGTGGTTCAGATCTAAAGTCAATTCCAATTTTCAAAGAAAAAAAGTTCAAAGCTGTTCAAAACTTCCGAGACTTCCGAATCCTTCGTTAATGGTTTCAAAGTTTTATTTCCTGTTTCAATGGGTGGTCTTTACTCAGAAAGTAGTTGTTTTATTCCAGAAGGCGGGGGAAGCCCACCAAAGCGGTTTTAAAGCAGCAGGAGAGAGAGAGAGAAACAGAGGGGAAGCTTTCCAAAGCAGTTTTAAAGCTGCAGGAGAAAGAGAGAGAGAGAGAGGGAGGGAGAGAGAGAAACCGAGGGGTAGCCTTCCAAAGCAGTTTGAAAGCTGCAGGAGAGAGAGAGAGAAAGATTATTATTATTATTTATATTCCGCCCTTCTCTCTCTCTCTCTCCTCCATCTCCTCTCATGCCCTGGCCCCTCCCCTCTCTCTCTCTCTCTCTCTCTCTCTCCTGCTGCTTTAAAACCACTTTGGAGGGCTTCTCCCCTCTTCTGGAATAAAACAACTACTTTCTAAGTAAAGACCACCCATTGAAACAGGAAATAAAACTTTGAAACCATTAACGAAGGATTCGGAAGTCTCGGAAGTTTTGAACAGCTTTGAACAGTTTTAAAGTGGCAGGAGAGAGAGAAAAAAATGGAGAGGAAGCCCTCCAAAGCGGTTTTAAAGTGGCAGGAGAGAGAGAGAGAGAAACAGAGGGGAAGCCCTCCAAAGCGGTTTTAAAGCAGTGGGAGAGAAAGGACAGGGAGAGAAAGGAAACCTTCCAACTCACTTACTGATTCGTAAGAGAAATGGTAGAAAAAGCTTCAAAATGGCAAGGATACTTCCAGGTTTCCCAAACTGCTTCGAAATCACTTTTTAAAGGAATTTGATCGGAATTCATTCCGAGTAACGAAGATTCCGACTGAACTTAACCAACCCTAATGTATAATGGTGAAAATGCTGCTGCAGAGGGCATTTTCGGAGGGGGGATTTTGCTATTTGCTTTGCACCCCACTTTTAAAAATCCCCACAGACTCTATTTTGCCCACTCCTGGCTTTCACCATAGACAAATAGGCTATATTGCTGTTTGCACCTTGTCTTTGTTTCGTGAGAGTCAATGAGGGGGCAGAGCTAGACCTTGTATAGTTCAAAGCCTACTGGAATACATCCACCATTTGTGTCAGTGTTTCTTTTTGGAGAGGAAAGTGTGATTTTTTTTTGTTGTGTCAGGTCTGGTATGAGAGAATTGGCCGTCTGCAAGGACATTGCCCAGGGGACGCCCGGATGATCTGATGTTTTTATCATCCTTGTGGGAGGCTTCTTTCATGTCCCCGCTTGGGGAGCTGGAGCTGACAGAGGGAGCTCATCCGCCTCTCCCCAGATTCGAACCTGTGACCTGTCGGTCTTCAGTCCTGCCGGCACAGGGGTTTAACCCACTGCGCCACCGGGAAAGTGTGATAACAGCCTGGGGCGCTCTTATGACCCAGAGGCAATATCTTGCTGTAGAACTGTCCCATTTGTGGATGTAAGTAATTCCAGCTGCCATTGACTATACAGTGTAGGAGCTATTCTTTGCTACAGACCACCTGTTGCATCCATTACTCACCAATACATGTTTTATATAAATTACTTTGCCTCATATGATCAATCCGAAATCTATTTTGGTCTGGTGGCCATGATCTGACCCTGATCCGTTACAGCATGTAAATACAGTAGACTCTCAGTCAACTGGGACTCATGGGGATCCCGGGGGAAGGGGGGGGGAGCAGGGATGAGGAGGAGAAGGAGGAGGAGCTTTTCAGACATATTTCTATAAAACTATAGGCATCCTCTGCTTATTCAATCAGTTAAACACCAGAGCTCTGTCAAAAAGTGGAAATGGTTATAATGCAGAACCCAGTCATATATATAATACTGTAATTGTATATTTATTTATTTATTTATTTATTTATTTATTTATTTATTTATTTCGAGCACTTCTACCCCGATCTTCTCAACCCCCAAAGGGGGACTCAGGGCAGCTTACAAAAAGGCACAATTCGATGCCAGCAATATACACAGTCAAATAAAATACAACACAACAACAATTATAAAAAGTTAAAAACAGTCCAATTATACAATAACAGTTAATAAAAGTCAATCTAATGACCAACGTTCGCCAATTCAAAGTCCGTAAATTCATTCCGTATTGTCATAATCCTATCCAACTCTAGTCGTCATTGTCCTTTATCTGTCTGCCAGATTACCCAAAGGCCTGGTCCCATATCCATGTTTTTAGTTTCCTTCTGAAAGAGAGGAGGGATGTTGATGACCTAATTTCCCCGGGGAGCGAATTCCACAGGTGAGGGGCCACCACCGAGAAGGCCCTGCTCCTTGTCCCCACCAATCTCACTTGTGATAAAGTTGGGGCCATGAACAGGGCCTCCCCAGAGGATCTTAAATTCCGAGGTGGGACATAGAAGGAGATGCGTTCAGACAGGTATGCTGGGCCGGAGCAGTATAGGGTTTTGTAGGTCAAAACCAGCACTTTGAATTGTGCTCGGAACTGGATCGGCAGCCAATGGAGCTGACATAACAGAGGGGTGGTATGCTCCCTGTATGATGCTCCAGTGAGTAGTCTGGCTGCTGCCCATTGGACTAACTGAAGTTTCCAAACAGTCTTCAAAGGCAACCCCACGTAGAGTGCATTGCAGTAATCTATTCAGGATGTAACAAGAGCGTGGACCACTGTGGCCAGATCAGACTTCCCAAGGTATGGGCGCAACTGGCGCACAAGTTTTAATTGTTCAAAAGCTTTCCCGGCCACCGCCGAGACCTGGGGTTCCAGGCTCAGCGATGAGTCCAGGATCACTCCCAAGCTGCGAACCTGCATCTTCAGGGGGAGTGTAACCCCCGTCTAACACAGGCTGTAACCCTATGCCCTGTTCAGCCTTACGACTGACCAGTATATGTTAGGCCTGTACAATCAATGAAAAAAACATTTCAATACTCATTACGAAATTAGGGGGGTGGGCTGGAGAATCATTTCTAAAGTGTTTCTAAAATATTGTTAGGGGTCTGTATTGTAACTATAATGATATAACAAATTTCAACAATTTCAA